TGGTGGTGGTGGTGGTGATGATGATGGTGGTGATGATAATGGTGGTGATGATTATGGTGGTAGTGGTGATGATGGTGTTAGTGGTAATGATGGTGGTGGTGGTGATATGGTGGTGTGATGATAGTGATATTAAAGCCCGGATGTAATCTATATATCGCTCACCACAGCTACAGTTGTTTCCGCACCAATACTCAGTAAGTTTCTTGTGTTGGCGAAAAGATCAAATGAAATCACTTTGTATTGATCATCAATGGCCACCTGACGACATCCGAATGTATATCTACGAGAATAGAAAATTTTCGTTGACTTTCATGCCATGATGATCGAGGTGCACTGTGGAAACTGGGAAGGTGACTAAAGCCTGGTTTACCCTATAAAAGCTTCTGTGATCACAGTAGGAATTTTGCATGGGAAAATTCTAAGTTTTGAAGGATTTGTAAGAAATGTTTGAGGAAACTGACTGTTTAACACTGAGTAAGTTGCCTCAAAATTTCTTACAAATCCTTCAAATTACCTTAGCTGTGCAAAATTCCTACTATGATCACAGGAACTTTGATAGGGCAAACATAGCCAATAGAAATAGAAATAGAGTGGTGTAAACCCTTAATTCCACTTACTTGCAGTAAAACGTACGTATTCTTGCAGTTTGAACATTAAACCCTGACGTTACACTAACAATTAAGTCGCTCACAGTCTTCGCTTCTTGGTAATATGTCACCATCAAAACATACGAAGCAAACTTTGTAATTGGCAGAGGCAAATACAGCTGACTCTAAAATAAAATATATGTGTAATATTTGCTTAGTTTTGGAATTTTATCAAGTGTTTATCGGACTTGTATACATCGATATATTGCCCCTTGACCAAAGTGGAAATTAGAAAACTGAAATAGTATGGTATGCCCTTGTTGGCATTTTGGGGAGAACAGTTCAGAACTGATAGAGATATCAATTTTATTTTAAGTTCCTTAATCCTGTAGTAACAACACTGGGCCAATAAGAACCATTCCCAACTGCATCTCCACGGAAAACAGTTAGAGTTACCCAGTAAAGTAAGTTATGTTTTTCGAGAACTATTAAAATATAGTATAAAACCTTACCAATCGATTAAGAACTGAAAAACCTTTAAATGGCGCATAAGGCAGTAAGGTTCGAGCACCGACCAAATTACCCAGCGTTGTAGGCACGTTGACAGCGTCAGGTGCAGCGACTGTTAGATACTTATAATCAACACAGTATTCAGATACTGAATCGACTAAACACGGCTGTTCAACACGTTGACGTAGATGTGTTGCCTTGTAGTATTCCTCTGGTATCATCACCACATAGTCCTGAACATGCGAGCACGAAAAATAAGAGTGACGAAATACAGTCAAACCACTAAAGGCCCATTTGCACTCAGGAAAATTTTCCGTTGAAAAACATTTCAACAATGATATTTTCGGAAAATGTTCTGTCCGTGGAAAATGGTTCTTGAGTGGAAATTGGCCTTAAGAAGTGGATATTTTCGGGATCTCACTTATTTATTTATTTATTAACTTCACAACCTTTTACACATGAACAGATATATATTAAATTTAAGAGTATACACGTAAATGAAAGAAAAATAACTTGAAGTTATAATCCACAGGACAAGAATCCCATATTTTAAAAGACCAACCCAAGAAAGACAACAATAGTTATTATAACATTGAACATGAAATTTAACATTTAAGAGCAACAAGTTTGGTTATGGGAACGACACTTGGAACAATAAGTCTTGCAAGCGCGCATTCTATTGACGTCAAAGATAGATTCAAGTTTGAAAAGGTAGTGAGAAAACAGATTGTGTCTCCTCAGTTTTAGCCGCTTTTGAAAAATTGACCAAAAACAGCTAAAAATTAGACAAACACAGCACATACCAGCAATAAATTGGATGGTGCAGCAAACAAGGATATTCTCCACTTTCCTCGACTCAAGAAGAACTCCGCCTCCTTGCCACTCTCTTTCACAGTTAAAAATTCAGCATAGGTTCTCGTTTCTGTTGACGTTGGTTTGAATTCAAGGGAAACGACAAGAACATCATTGTAACCATGAGGTAACGGATCTAGAAATCGGATCAATTGGTCAGTTTCTATATACTAAGACTAATTTTTTATCTTGGCAAAAAAAGTATATTCCCGGAAAGAGCATACTAAAATGAGTAAAATTGCAAAGTTTGGTTGAAAAATGTTGAAAATGCGGAGAATATAGCCTTGCGAAGTTCGCAAATTTTGTATACTTTTGTATTGCGTGCGGAAATTGCTTGTCACATTTGGGCCGAAAATGGTAGCAATTTCCGCACGCAATACTAAAAGTATACAGAATTTGCAAACTTTGCAGCAAGGCTTTATATTTTCCGCATTTACAACATTTCGCTATGGACGACATTTTGCCATTTTGATCTAGACAAGAAGGACGCAATCCAACACCACACCTAGACAAAGCGTCTCAAAATTAGTACAATTGCAAAGTTTGGCTGCGAAATATTATAAAATGAGGAAAATATAGCCCTGTGAAGTTCACAAATTTTATATATATTTATATTACGCGCGGTAAAAATAACCACTTTCCGCTCAAAAATGGTTATTTTTCCCGCGCGTAATGCAAATATATACAAAATTTGCGAACTTCACAAGGCTATATTTTCTTCATTTTACAACATTTCGCAACCAAACTTTGCAATTTTACTCATTTTAAGATGCTCTTTCTAGGTGTGGTGTGGTGTTGGATTTCGTTCTTGTTTAGATCAAAATTTCGTCGATAACCGGAATCACCCATTAGTACTTACCGACTTGTCCTGTTGGTGATATAGTAATTTGTCCATATGTGGGACGAAACGAGTCTAACATATAACGAATTAGGAGACGGTATTTTGCCGGCCGTGGAATTCCAACAATTATATCGAATGAACTCTAAAAAGATATGAAAAGAAACTTTTCGAAACAAGAAAATTATTTGCAGTATGTACATTTCTGACTAAATACGACAAACACCGCGTGTTCCCTTTGCGCTTTTCTGAAAGAAGATGTACCCAAAACAACACAGGTACTCTATACCTGTTCGGCTAATGATGGAACATATCCATGACCAGAGAATCCAGAAAACTCAGTTTCATTATGACGCATGGTGAGTGGCCGTTTATCTCTTGTTGTGCCATCCTCGAACTCAGCATGAATGTGGTGCAAATTTTTCACATAAAAACCATCTGATTTCACGCTGACAAATAAAATGAAAGTATAAGTTTATCTGATAAATATATCATTATAAAGTTAGTTTTATTGTCCTTTTAGTAGTAACCATAGGACTGAACAGGAAACTCGTACAAAATATAACTTTTTCTTACGCTAAATTTCCTTCATACCTGGTACATTTCGTTCCTCCCACGTTTCGTTTACATGAACAATCGCCGTTTCCCTTCTCACATGTGTTGTCGAGTGATCCACCGTAATTACACTCGCATCCTGCAACGATCAAATACAAATATCACGATATCACTTTTACTGATGAACAGTTTCCGGAATCACAGGACCGTACAGTTGCATTTTTCGCCACTGCTCCTGGTTAGACGTAAAAAATGTATAAAAATTCACAACTCGAAATACCATCTACAATACCCTTCTATACATATAAGTCTCACCTTTACAACCAAATATACTGTAATCTCTCAAGTCAGTTGAGCCATCTTTACAGCTTGAACAAGCGTGTCCATTGACACGTGATTTACAGGAACATTGACCAGAGACTTTATCACAGTTCTTCAACTGACTGTTAGTGCCCAGTTTGCTGCACGTGCATCTCTGACAACCTTGAGGATTGTCGAACTGAAGATTATAGTGGAAATCTGTACATGTGTCACAGAATTTGCCACCGACGTTGTCTTTGCATTTACATTCAACCTGAAACAGGAATTGTTGGCTTGTTTATTGTCTTGTTTATTGAATTTCTCACTCGTTGGTGAGCGGATTTCCCAACTGGGCTGGTTGTATAAAACTCTTAATTACTTTTTTAATCACTATTTTGTAGTTAAATAGTGATTAACTCTCAAATACGTGCTTCTTATTGGATGACGTTTCCACTAACTATAGTTAACTTTAATCACTTTTTTATACAATCGGCCCCTGGTCATTACCCAATTGATAGGGGATCCGAGGTACTGTACCTACGATTTTAACGTCCTTGCCCGAAAGTCTAACCATTTACTGATGTCAATGTAAAGGTTGCTCTTTCTCTCAATTATTTTAAGACCTTGAGTAGAGGTCCGACCAAGGATTGAACCCGGGTCTCCCTAGCCTGCGAACAGGCTCTCAAGCTGAATTGAGGGCCTGCATCGATGACTAATGAATTTGAATATCTGCCCCGTAACGTTCGTTTTTCCAAATATGGAATGTCTATCCTTATATGGTGTTGTTTACAACTTTCGTGCAAACTAAATTTAGACCGTGCTAACTAAATTTAGACCGTACAGTTTATACTGTTTTTCGAAATATAAGATATTCAAGCAAAAGTTCAAATGTTTTAAATACTGTTTTCTCAAAACAGAACATTTCGTGCTTTGAGATAAGACGGCCAAGACCAATTTGATCAGTTAATGTGTTTCTTATGCATAGTGCTTCAGCAGTTGACATATATAGAGCTCAGCGGAAACATATAAATTATAGCATCTGACCAATGAGAATTTCGCGTCACGATTTGAGACGCAGATATTCAAATTCATTAGTCATCGATGCAGGCTCTCAATTCAGCTTGAGAGCCTTTCGCAGGCTAGGGTCTCCCAGCTTGAAAGGCAAGCTAGCGGGGTGATCACGCCACCACAAGTGCTGGTCACAACACAAGAGCTGACAGTTACATTAAAATATTACATCTCATTCAAGCTTGGTTCTATCGTGCTTAAATCCTAATTGTATTAATATAACTTTACTTCGCCTTACCGCAAGAGTAGAGTTACAACCAGACAATAATCCTGCAATAGGTTTGATCCCAGAAACGTCACAGTTACACTCCTTACAGTCTGGAAATCCGAAGAATCCGACTCGACATCCGTTGCATCTTTTCCCATCAAAACCTCTTCTACATTGGCACTGTCCTGTCAATGAACTGCAGAACGTACTGAGTGAACCATGGTTGTCACAGTTACATGCTGAAAATTTAAAATAAGAAATAGAATTATGACAAATACTCTTATGTACACTGAATAGCTTTATCAGTTCTAAGCTGTTCTCCCTAGAGGTCCAGTAAGAGTCATCTCTCATTGATCCAGTGTTATCACAGGAGGAAACCTAAACTAAACTTACTTTATTTATATCGCTCTATCAGTTCTAAACTGTTCTCCCTAGAGGTCCAGTAAGGATCATCCATTATTGATCCCGTGTTACTACAGGAGGAAACCTAAATTAAACTAACTTTATTTATACTGGATAGCTCCATCTGTTCTAAACTGTTCTTCCTAGAGGTCCAGTAAGGATCATCCCTGCATTATTGATCCCGTGTTACTACAGGAGGAAACCTAAATTAAACTAACTTTATTTATACTGGATAGTTCTATCCATTTTGCCTCTACACACACATGTACCTTTACACGTGGGGAACAGATAGTTTCCAGGTTTGCAGCGATTACACTTGATGCCAGAAAAATTTGGTTTGCATTTACATCGACCACGACGATCACAGTTCCCGCTTTCTACTCCTCTAGGGTCACAGTCACATCCTAGAAATACACCAACATGTTAGTACTAGTATTTATTACCATACCACACGATACCACGCCATACCATACTATACCATGCCATACCATACCATACCATACCATGCATACCATACCATACCATACCATACCATACCATACCATACCAAACCATACCATATACACCACACCATACCACACCATACCACACCATACCTACCATACCACATCATAACATACCACACCATAACATACCACACCATACCATACCATACCATACAACACCACACCATACCTACCATACCACATCATAACATACCACACCATACCATACCATACCATACCATACAACACCACACCACACCATACCTACCATACCACATCATAACATACCATACCATACAACACCACACCACACCATACCTACCATACCACATCATAACATACCACACCATAACATACCATACCATACCATACAACACCACACCATACCTACCATACCACATCATAACATACCACACCACACCATACCATACCATACCATACCATACCATACCATACAACACCACACCATACCTACCATACCACATCATAACATACCATACCATACAACACCACACCACACCATACCTACCATACCACATCATAACATACCACACCATAACATACCACACCATACCATACCATACCATACAACACCACACCACACCATACCTACCATACCACATCATAACATACCACACCATAACATACCACACCATACCATACCATACCATACAACACCACACCACACCATACCTACCATACCACATCATAACATACCACACCATAACATACCACACCATACCATACCATACCATACAACACCACACCACACCATACCTACCATACCACATCATAACATACCACACCATAACATACCACACCATACCATACCATACCATACAACACCACACCACACCATACCTACCATACCACATCATAACATACCACACCATAACATACCACACCATACCATACCATACCATACAACACCACACCACACCATACCTACCATACCACATCATAACATACCACACCATAACATACCACACCATACCATACCATACCATACAACACCACACCACACCATACCTACCATACCACATCATAACATACCACACCATACCATACCATACCATACCATACCACACCATACCATACCATACCATACCACACCACACCACAACACACCTCACCGTACCGTACCATACCATACCACACCATACCATACCATACCATACCATACCATACCATACCAACAACAATGAACATAACATACGTACGTCGACAGACAGGGAAAGCATAATACCCAGAGCGACACTGCAGACACTGACGACCAATAATATTAGGTCTCCGACAAGTACATTGTCCATGGACTGAATTACAATATCGACTTCGAGAACCCAGATAACTACACCGACAAGACAATGCTCCATTGTTGAAATTCGTCACCAAAGCAAAACTGGTGTTCCTGCAGTAGTTGGGATCGTTCGGATCAATAACATAGTTGTTCAGACTACATTGTTCAACCCAAGCTCTTGAGTTGTCGATTGAAGTGAATGAAAGAACGTTATCGGAATAGCTGGTGCTAGGAATCCGGTAGATCCAGGACTGAAATATGGAGAAACATATTAATTATTTGGTATAAAGATACTATAAACTTCTGTTACCATACGTTGATGTAGAGAAATATATGTAGCAATTGGGAACTTTTTCTGAGAATTTAGAACAATGTGATAATTTTCCTGGGGCCTTTTTGACATTCGACTGGAATTTCCGCTGCAGTGAAAGTGATATACTTACTACTTGTACATCCAGTTTTACCGGAAAGCGTACTTCAACACGAGTTGTTCCCTGTCTGATTCTGAAGTAATCCCCTGTGTCAGTAGGTTTCACCGCAATTCGACAGAATTCTGTGTTTGGACAGTATTTGAACTCGGCCACGCCTCGTAGAGTTGTTCCGTAGGTGGTGATAGAAACTTGCCCGCGGACAACGATGTTCCTCGTCTGTTGGTATTGGATAATGATGACAAAATTATCCGTTTTTTTGTTGAAGAATTGCCGGAACTTTACTAACGTATCCTGTGAAAAATAAACACAAAAGAAAAGTTTAAAACTGAAAGAGCAATCCAGCATGAATAAAGTTAGTTCCGGAAGGACTCTTACGGGGTCTCTAGGGCGAATAGTTTGGAAATGATAAATCCATCCAGTATAAACAAAGTTAGTCTAATTCACATCAGATTATGAGTCGTCTTCAGCATAGTATCCTTGTTTGGAAGACTAACCTTTTCTGCGCTCCTTGTTGAGAACGAGCCCACAGGGTTGACGACAGATCGCGATATTGGCCGATGTTGTGTAGACTTTGTGGGTTCTTCGTAGTTTGACGAGATACATCTATCTTGCAATGATCTGCAAACTAATGCTGGAGTGATGTAGTCTGCATGCCACAAGTCGTACGGAATGGCGGTTATGTAATCCTAGATAAAAATATTAAGAAAAATAGTAATAAAATATATCAATTTGCTATCTGGTGTACACACGCAAAAATCTCACAACTTGTCAACAAGATGTGTTCGCAAAAAGCTTGTGGCAAGTTCGTCAATAAGTTGTGACAATGTTGTTATTTTATCAAGTTGCTAAAAGGTCGTCACTCACAACTTGTTGAAAAATTGTTGAATTGCAGGACGATAACAAGTTGTTGTAACAACTTGCAACAAGTCTGTTGAGCTCAACAAACTTGTAGCAAGTTGTCAACAAGCCATTGACAACTTGTCAACAAGCTGAGAACAAGCAGTGCGCACACATCCTGTTCACAAGTTGTTGGAACAGCATTGCTACAAGTCCAGTGCAGGTTTGTTACAACTTGACGTTTTTACATAATATGTAGTATAGATCCATTACGTATTTAATCAAGAACATTCAAACTGAACTTACTATAGCGATATGTGCTTCTCTTGAAGTGAACAAATTCAACGGGGTCTGTCCTTTGTCGACATCGAAAACTTTGACCGCCTTGACATCCGGCTTCATAGCGACTTGCCGACATCCAAACTGATACTTACATGGAACTACATGTACGGAGCTATGTTCACGATACACGTACAAATCTATCTTGTGCAAGTTCTCTCCATGACTGATGTAATGTACGACAAAGACGTAGAAGCCAGACTTAGGTATGTTCATGTCCACTGCAAAACGATTCTAGGTGGGACAGTTTACAAGAGAGCCAAGATTAAAGTAAGTTAAAGCCCGGTTCCACACTATCCGAGTTTCTGTGATCACAGTAGAAATTTTGCATCGGTAAAATCTAAGTTTTGAAGGATTTGTAAGAAGTCTTTGAGGGAACTGACTCAGTGTTAAAAACTAAGTGAGTTTCCTCAAATATATCTTACAAATTCTCCAAATTTACGGATGCAAAATTCCTACTGTAATCACAGAAACATTGTTAATGTAAACAAGCCTTAATTAAGTAAGCCTTAAGAAAGTGGGTATGCTAATCACCTTACTTGCAGCTGAGAGCTAAGCTGAATTATGAAGGACGCAGCTCAAACCTGATCCAGTCGAAGGTTTTCTAAGGGCGCCTCTGGCAGCCACCTTATAACTCATGTCTGTTCACGGAGCACAGCTACGGTGGGGTGGAAGGGTCAGTTAGGGGCTAATCCCAAGTCCCAACCCACCCTGTCAACATTCCTCATGGGCGGAAACCGGAGCACCCGGAGAAAACCCACCACTTTCGGCAGAGTGTCGTCGACCGACTCTTTTCACATAAGAATCATGAGTTCACAGCGAGAACCCACGATTTCATTGAGCAATTAGGTAAGACCCTTCCTGGACCACTAGGAACAACAGTTTAGAACTGATAGTGCCATCCAGTATCAATAAAGTTAGTTTAGATTTCCTTTCTAAAACCATCTCAATAAATGATAGCTGAAATGGAGCCTCTGGAAGAACAATTTAGAAGTCACAGATCTTTCTAATATAAATAAAGTTAGTTTAATGCTAATAAATTACCTGTTCACTACTCATTAACACTAACTGGTTGCCCGTCAATTGCTGCAACACTGTATTATTGCTGTAATACTTCAAAACGAGTTTATCCTCCGTGCCCCAGGCCTCTCTCGCGAAGTATCCATGCTCGGCTTCGTGTTTCACCGCGTGTTCGTCAGAGACCTCGGGATAACTATATCGATCACAGATCTCATCCCTGGGACCATCAACCACACACGGATCAACTCGTTCTGTTTTCAGAATTCGACCCGTGTAGTATTCCTCCGGCAGGAAAACGAAGTAGTCCTGCGTGAGAGAAGGGAATGAAAGTTTAAACTGCCGTGGTTTGTGTCCAGTAATTCTACAATAAGCTACCGTGGTTTGTATCTGAACTATCTGAAAAAGATACCTCACACATTCTGCAATAAGCTGTCGTAGTTTGTGTCTGAACTATCTGACATGGAGGTTCAGTGTAACTAGTAACTACTATCATTGAAACAACTTCAACAACCACTTACCATTAACATATATTTGCTCTCGCAGTCAATGGTCACCGTCCAGACTCCTTCGAACATTAAAAACGCCTGAACAACGTTATTTTGTGATACTGCCAGCAAGGAACTTCGTTCTCTGTTCTGATTTCGTGTTGACGATAATGTCATGGAGACAATTCTCGTGTAACCTGGAACACCTTGAAGAAAAAATAAACAACTCTTTCAAGTTGAATGCTTTTGTTTGAAAAATTTTAAAATTTTTGCAGGCGTTACAATTTTTCAAAACCAAACATATTTCTTTCTATTACTTCTTCCTTTTAAATTTATTTTCCTCATTTTTTTGCCCAACTGCAATTTTTCTGAGGGCCCCCCCCCCCCGCCTCGTACGCTTATGAAAAAAACTACTAGAGTAACCAACCTTGTGTCGGGCTAAGCGTGAAACTGACATCGGTTGTTGTTGGATAGCCAACAGGTTCAAATATACAACGGAAAAGAATACGATACAGACTGCGTCGTGGGATCTTGATTGATAAGACAACTGTTGACTGAAAATGAGAAATATGAAGCTTAGCACTATTCTTCACTGAGCAAACTTCTGTGGTGGTGTTGGCGACAAAGTGGTTAATGTCTGTGCCTGTCAGCTCTATGAATGAGGTTCTATTTCTTCAATATGCCGTTGTCTCATTACAATTTCGCCCAACATTTCGTCGCATTGAGAAGAGTACTTCCAGGTTGAATCTACCAAACACCATAGATTTTCTCTGGATATTTCGGTTTCCTCCTCTAGTAACACTGGACTGATGGCCCTTATCTCTACGGAAATAACTAACTTTATTTAGACGAGATCATCAGTTTAAACTGTTCGGTTTAAACTTATAAACTCGTCTAAATAAAGTTAGTTCAGGATTCTTCCTGTTGTATTACGAATGGTCTTTGCTCTAGAAAGAATATCTTCACGAATTACTGTACCTGTTCCGGCAAGAAGTTGACATAACCTTTCCAGGAATAAGAAGGGAACATATTTACATCAAAACCGTATTTGACTGGTTTTCTATCTGCGGTTTTGCCATCTTCCACTTCAACTGAAATATGATGTAGTGACGGATAATACACAGAGCCTCTGGATAATCTGTGGAAAAAAAGAGAATTCATAGTAATAGTTTGTTGTTTTGAGGTTTAGTAATTCCACCTTACACACACACTTCGTTTCTGGCCTGCTCTCGCTCGAAATATTAATGGTTCTAATTAATTAATTAATTAATACTCTTACCTCTTCAATCTGGATTAATTATGATTAAAATTAATTATGATTAAAGATTAATTAATAACTTAACTAATGAATTAACCACTAAGTTAGTTAATTAATTAACTAACTTAATGAACTAATTAACTAATTGATTAACTAATTAACTAATTAACTAACTGACTAATTATGATTAATTACTCAACTAATTAATCAATAATGAATTAATTAACCATTAAGTTAGTTAATTAATTAATTAAACACTGCTGCCGAACAATTCATGTCGAACCTGTCACAACGTGTTCCTGCGATATTTGTGCGGCACTGACATTTTCCATTTCGTTTGTCACAGTTTCCATACAAAGCACCGCCTGGATTGCATTTGCACGCTGAAAATACAAAATTCAATATTTTATCAGTTAATATTATTGTCTATAATGATACTACACTGTTCTACATTGACGTCCAATATATAAGGCTCATGCCTCACTGGTCCATTGTTATTACAGGGGAAACCTCAAAACTAAACTAACTCAATCTATAGTTAACTCCATCAGTCAGAGGTGAAGAAAAATTCATGGAGAATGGAATTTGATATCTTACCTTGACATCCAAAGATATCAGAAGACGTGATAGAATGATATCCTCTCTTGCATTCATAGCATGTTTTTCCTTCCATGAATGGTTTACATGAACACTGGCCAGATCTCTTATCACATGACTCCAACGCACCAATCGTAGCACCCTTGAAACAACCACATGATCTACAGCCACGAGGATCTCCTGGTGAAAAGTTGTAGTACAAATCTTTACATCTGTCGCACGTCTCACCTCCCACATTCGTTTTACATCGGCATTGGAACTAGAGAAAAAATATTCAACGTCGTTTACACAGATTGTAGTATTCACCAATTCACCCACAGGCTCATGCTGCTCGACAGTACAATTTATTAACAACGTATGACTGTTTTATGCATGATTGATTTCTTTACAGAAAGTTGTAAACTCGTGCGTGAAGTCTACTACGGTAAAACAAAAAAAAAGTCTTAATGTACATCAAATTAATTATATAATTCAATTCACTTTCAAACAGGATTTTTCAAGAGGTTTACTATATTTGAATTATATAATTAATGATAACCAGAGGTGAAAGTTTTAGAAGAATAATTACATCAAATTGTCTGGTACTTTCATAGTTCATAAAACACCTTCTAAATTTGCACCCTATAAATTCAAATTGCGTTTCAAGTCTTCCAATTTTTGTGCGCACGCCATTTTTAAAGTGTTTTTCAAAAACAACCCTCCAGCACTCGAAAATTTACTTTTCAAAATAATTTTAGTGGTAAAGATACTAACAGACCCCAAACCACCCATGTTTGCATAAAACTTTCACAAACTTTGTAGTTTAGCGGACATTTTCGAACTGTGCAGTTTTCTTCACACACCCTGTAGAAAGTCATACCTTGTCGTTCCCACTGGCGCATGTACTGTTTCCTTGTCTGGCATTTCTTGGTGTACCATGTGGGTTACACACGCACTGCCGACAACGGGGAAATCCGAAGTATCCCGGCTGGCAACGATCACATTGTCGACCAGCAACGTAAGAGTAGCAGATGCAGTTGCCAGAGATGAAGTCGCATTGAGGAACGATTGAGCCTTTGTAATGACACGCACATTCTAGAAAAATAAAATGGTTCGATTAACTATGCAGTGTGCTTCCTAAAGTTGTTTATTGACTTTTTCTCACTCATTGGTAAGCGGATTTCCAACAGGTTATCGCTAAGTGATAGGGGATCGGAGGTACCTACGATTTCAACGTCCTTATCCGAGAAGACGCGAAAGTGTAACCATTTACTGATGTTAATGTAAAGGTAGGTCTTTCTTCTCAATAATTTTAAGACCTTGAGTAGAGGTCCGACCAAGGATTGAACCCGGAGGTCTCCCTGAAAGGCAATCGTGGTGGTCACGATATCACAAGTGCTGATTCTTCCAGTAACTCATAACTTAACTGTCGAAACAACGTGAAATTTTGGGTATAGACTTATTTGAGCATGAAAATCTCAATTCTGGGCTCCATTTTTGCCAAAGCTCCTTGGTAGCGAGATGAAAAATTGATGATGTCGAATCCGAAATATGACCTATAACCGAAGTATATACTGTATATAAAAACGTCAAACATCACTAACCTTTGCAGTCTGGGTAACCATAGTAACCGCTCTTGCAACGATCACATTTTGAGCCTGTATAACCTTCCTTGCAATCACATTGGCCAGAGGCGTTACACTCGATGCGCTGGGAACCAGCGGAAGGGCATGTACACGCTAAAACACGAAATTTGAAATGTATCATGATGGGTAACTTCGTATAAATCCGTTTCTGCAAGCGTTACGGGTTAGGAGATGGTGTTCGACTTCAGAAATTTCGACACTTGACACTGGGACCTATTGGGAAGCACCCTGTTGTTTCGTGCGAGCAAATCAAACTGTATTTATGATGTTTATTTCCCACCAAATACAACATAACAACAAATAATAAAAATATTTTCTGACTGATATCTGCTGATAACAGCCGGTTAACCACCGACAGCTACTTAGGAAAACCCACCTACAAAGTCGAAATTGAAGCTCTTATTAATAATTTACTAAAGGCTGGTCTGCAACACTATCAAAGTTTCTGTGATTACAGTAGGAATCTTGCATAGGTAAATTCTAAGTTTTGAAGGATTTGTAAAAAATGTTTGAGAGAAATGAGTATTAAACAGTGAGTCAGTTCTCTCAAACTTTTCTTGCAAATTTTTCTAAACTTTGATAGTGTGATCACAGAAACTTTGATAGTGTAAACCAGGTTCAACTGTTTTTACCTAATTTTCTGCATGTGGGGAAATCGGCGTATCCCAGCTTGCACTTGCCACATGTCGTCCCATCGTAGTTTGCTTTACATAAGCATTTCCCATGAATATCACATCCTTCAGAAGTCGTGTGTTTCATGTGACAGCCACACCCTGGAAGACGAAAGAAACGTTTCAACTTGAGACAGGCGAAAATCAGCACTGGCAAACCAGTGTCGTGTTCACTTACATTTACAGGAAGGGAAACCATAATATCCTTTTCGACACTTGTCACATTTTCGTCCAGTGATGTATGGTCTACAACGACATTGTCCACCCTTACGTTTGCAGTTTGAAGTAGGGATTGAACCTTGTCTGGAACAGTCACATGCTAGAAAAAATAAACATGATGTAATTTAGTCTTATTGATCTCATAATGATAGCTTACCATACCATACCATATACCACATACCACATACCATATACCACATACCACATACCACAAACACATACCATATACCATATACAACATACCATACCATATACCATACCATATACCATACCATATACCATACCATATACCCTATACCATATACCATACCATATACCATACCATATACCATACCATATACCATACCATATACCATACCATATACCATACCATATACCATACCATATCATATACCATATCATATACCATATCATATACCATACCATATACCATACCATATACCATACCATATACCATACCATACCATATACCATACCATACCATATACCATACCATATACCATACCATATATACCATATACCATACCATATCTTATATCTTATACCATACCTTATCATACCACACCAATGATACCATACCATACCATACCTACCATCATACCATCACCTATTTTACATAGCTAAACCATAACATACAATAACCTAACCTAACCTAATCACACCATACCACACCATACAATACCACACATGACATACCAGAACACACCATACTTTATCATACCATTAGATACCACATCTTACCATACTGCACCACACACCAAAACGGTTAAAAAAAATATAAAAATAACGAGACTACATACGTGCACAAATTGGGTAGTTAAAACGACCACGAAAGCATTTATTACACCTCTTGCCAACGTACTCTCTCTTGCATGGACAGCTTCGATTGGGAACATTGCAGATAAAGCCAGCAGTTCCATACTCAGAACAGTAACACGCTACAGAAAACGGGACAAACATTCAGAACTCATGTCATTTACAACCGACTGTTTGCTTATAGCTTTCCGTAGCGGCGCGAAAAAGCACCTATCCCATACGGAATGTACAACTTTCAGAAGCTGAGCGAAACAACATCTCTCCGTTGCAATAATTCCTCTGAAAATAGCGCTCATAAAAGGTACGGATAGATGTTCTTTCATGTCGCTACGGAAAGATGTCCGGTACAAGTGTAAATGTAGACTAAGGTTAACTCATTGAGTTGTACTACGTCGTATTATTTTACTCTGTCTAACGCCAGGCAATTTACTCGTCAAGGGGAGAGCGCTAGCACTCAATGGGTTAATTCCTGAAAATAAAGATTAATCTAGAAGTTTACCTTGTCTTTTCGTTCGTACGGAAGCGCTGTCACTAATTTGGTTTCCTAAAATGCAAAGAATTGTTTCTTATTCCTAAAATTATGTTACAGACTCATTTTTGTGCGCAATTAAGGCGTGCGAATTTCACACCATGGTTGGGTTGAACAACCGAACTTACATATTATAAAACCTCGCTGACTTTAGCTTGAGAAAATTTTAATCGTTGATCTTAATGTTGTTCAATCTGGGTTTGTTTTGCTTATCTGAAGAACGTATTAAAGTGCACGAGTAAAGGAAAATATAAGTTACCTCGTACTGAAATTTCTTTCAATGTGTAAAATCTCTATATTGAAAGTAAGAAATACATTTTTTTCTCAACAATCCTTTTAAGTGGAGAAGTCCAATGGTTGATAATTGAATTGAAAAAGTATTAAAGACGTAGCCGGGACATTATAGAACGAGAGAGGTGCACTTACTGAAAGTTCTTCTAAACTCTGAAGATTCTTTGGCTCCCACATCTGAATAAATCTCAATCGCAAGTGGTCAGCAATGACATTGCTACCATCAAACGATACCACAACCTTCATAAACAAACAGAAGAACATATATTGTTTTCTTAAAACGAAAATACTGGATCTGATTGACAGACGGCCAGACCAAACGCCACACCAACCATGCAGCCAAACGAAGAGTCGACAGAAGATTTGATCCCCTCACCTTTTCACTGGACCCATTTTTCACACGCTCTTGCACAATGCACAAGTTATTACCGATGTCCATATCATTGAAACCAAACACGTTGGCGCATTGCTGAGCACGAGAGACCAAGTACACCAACGCATTGTACTGTTTCCCTTCATTCCTTGATGCTTCAATGACCCACACTGAAGGCTGGGGTGTAAATGCTGTGCTCACTGACACTTGGTAAATGTGATATTTCTGAAAGAAAGTATTCCACGGGTTTAATCCTTTGTTTGCTAACGGGCACCTTACATACATGAACTTGCGAGTAGAGCTCGACCACTGGCCTCTGTAGCTCAGTTGGTTAGAATGCACCGGAATCGCAGGGTCGTAGGTTTGATTCCCGCCAGAGGACCAATAGTTGATTTTTCGCAACTGCTCAAAATTTACACTTGAAATGTCCCGCTCAAAACACAATCAGCATACCTGTTTGAGGTTTATGGTGATGTCGACACGTTCATCTGCGGAACTATTGGAGAGTACTGCAGACTGCCAATAACGTGAGCTGGAATGAGGCGTGGTCACAGATTCAATACTGTTATCACCATCACACACACCCCAGTCTAACTCAAACTCATCTATGAAAAAAATACAGCTTGTCTATCAGCTTTATTGGACACAATAAAGTAGAAATATTTACAAGTTATAAGACCTATGGGGATAGCGCAAACGCGGGACAACGAGACCCATGCTAGGCGTAACCCCTAACCTAATATTAAACTAGTAATAGACTCCCCCCCCCAAAAAAAACCCCAAAAAACAAAAAGGCAGTCTCTTGTCTTGAAAGCGACCAAGTGCATGCCATATCAACATTGAAAGTACTGTTGACCAACGCGGTGTATGTCACATGCAGAAAGTTTTTAAAAATAACTGGCGAACTTTTCAGGAGAGGCTATATTTCCAACATTATTCCAAGTTATAACTATTCGGTTAAAAAAGATCCTTGGAAAGTGGATGTTCTGCAGTATGGATATTTTAACAATAGAGATGGATTAGAGACCATATTTCAAACTGCCTGCCCGCATATAAACTACTTGAATACTGCAAAGTCAACTTTTTGACAATAAGTGCGAGTAGGTTGCGGGCATTTTAAAGTTTATATTTTTACGACGATAATTCCACCGTACATATATATTTATACCAGATGGTGTAAATGTAATGTGTTAATGTGAATTTCTCAAACCTATCAAGTTCAATAAATTGTTTTGATTTATCATTTACACATGTTACTCCCTGGGGCTAAAAATTCCTGTCAGTTTTTTCTGCCGAACTAAAAGTCAATTTCTCAGATGTATTTTCAAATTTAATCCAAGGCGGAAATTATGTTAATAATGAAATGTGAAACTTTCGTAGAACGCTTCCTGGCAATTTATCAAAATATTGCGTCGAATATATTGACAAACTACAAATGGATCTCGACTCTGTCGGGACGCAGGGTGGCATTGATTTGTTGATTTTATCACATAAATACAAACATCTTCGTGCTAATATTATTGCGCATTTTGAACAAGGTTGCCACATTTCCCCTTACGGCTTTTGGGCTGACAATATTAACATGATTCAGTGAATATATTATGAAATTTTCATAACATATTCCGTATTCGCGATACTCAAAACCACAAGCTATTCTAATGTTTGCAGAATAAATTTGTTTATGAATGCTTGCAGTTCGAATGTAACAAGCCCACGCTTTATTTGTTGTGTCATGTAATGAATCATAATAAATCCTTATATATACACTTAAAATATTACTGCGCTTAATATGTATGAATTCGAGACATATTAGACCACAAATACAGCACATTACAAACTGATTTTACGACTGGTAAACCACATATCCAATCCATCAATTATTGTCTTGTGTTTCTATGTACGCGACAATATTATAGGCCACAAAATAAATACGGATATAAACAGCCATGACACATATATAAATATATTTATGGTAATACAGACATGAAAACTAAACCTTTGTCATAGGCGCGCTGTGCGCCATATACATGAAGTCATACATACAATATCTCATTCCTTTACCTCTCGAATAACAATATGTTTCAAACTCTCCACATGTCGACGTTGCGCTTATAGGCTTTCCGTGCGCAATTTCACCACTTTCCAAGTCTAATTTGACGCATTCAGTTGACGCGAATACTTGTATGGAATAAATTGCGATCACCAGACGAACGAGACGAAGCGCAGCCATCGTTCAATACAGTAAACTGGCAACCGGCAACAATGATAATGGCGCGTAATAGCACAGGGTAATAGACAGGACGAGATGAAACACACTTGGTGTTTGTGACGCGCCAATGACACTCCCTGTTCGCAATGTTTTCTCAGGAAACGATAAAGGAAAACCCCTGTCTCTCCGCGCTAACACTCTCTCTGGAATTTACGCAATTATGCAAATATGCATGGATCGCGCGTGAGTGTTAATGCGTGTAAATTTAGTTTTAAATGCGCGGGTGTGCGCAAGTGTTGAATTCGTCAATTCGCATAAAGAAAGTTGCGCGCTTTCGAATATGTAAAAATTTGGCAGATTTTTATTCTAAGGCCATAACAGCATGTGCTTTATACTTTCATTCAAACATTGTGTAAGCGTCCAGAAATTTCAGATAAAGGTTAATTAAAAGGGACATCGCAATATGAAAACATTATGGTTTTTGGTGATGCGAATTGTGATTGAAAGCAGCGTGTTTAAACATTTGCGAGATTTTCCTTTTATAAGCTACGATTTTTGTCAGTACATTTGATTTTAAAAAATATAAGTCTAGAAGAAATACCGGAGGTTGAAGTCGCGTTGTGTACAAATAAAGTTAGGTGGTCTAAAGGTGGCCTGGTCAGCCAGGCTCTAAATAGCGAGGGAGTGGTCGAACGAGCGAAGAAAGCTGCGCAAATTGAAACATTATCTTTGGAAATTCTTTGCTGTCGCCATCAATGAAATGTGGTTTAAAACTACACGGCACATTTAACGCTGTGATGGGTTTGGGGTTTTCAGAAATTCGACACCAACTAGAAGGATTCAATTAAGAGTTAGACGAACGCATTAAAAAGCCATTAGAACTGGATTATCGAAGGAATTGAGTAAAATATGGACGAACGCAACAGATTCTCCTGATCTCTAAAGAAATGAAACGTAGAGTACTAGAATATAGTTCACTGTCGATTACATTCTTCAGTAAGTGTCAAAATGCATAAAAAGAGAATGGCATCCATGTTAGACAGATAGTGTCTAGTCGGTGATCTGATATCATATTCTTGCCTCTTGGGTTGCGACCTCTATAACGTCATTGTTATTTATATCATTTTTAAACGAGTGACGCAGATGATTTTTAAATACCTGTTAATTGACCTACACTAGGACCCCTATGGACAAAACTAACAATTCTGGTTGGGCCTTGTTGTGTTTAAATAAATAATTTCCATTTTAAACTACATGTAGAAGTTAGCCATTAAACATTGGTACCTTGTTAGTTTGTTTGTGCTTCGGGGCTTTGCACAAAAAGTTATATAAACTAAAAGTATATAATTACCATATATGCATACCATACGCATTACCATAGAACCCTGTTATTGGAGAACTAATCTATATGGTAATTCCAGTCATGTAATCTATTGTGTAACTAATTTTATGGTTATATATAACGAATTGAAAAGGAAATGGATGATTGATCAGTTAAGTTTAAAGTATTCAGATGTTTTTGGATTTTCACAATTAAAACACATACGGCTACCCAAGCTATTAAATGCGTAAAAATTAGCTATTAAATGCGTAAAAACAATTATTTTAAAAGCTTCACACGTATACTATCTAATTCTGTCTGACTCTCTGTACGACCACCAGCAACTCTCACGCCTTAGTCTATTCTCGAGTGTTATGTAAATTTTATTATCAATTAAAAATGCTGTACATTGTCACAACCCTTGCATATATGTGCAACTCTTCAGTGTGTGCTGAGAAAAAGCCGTTCTCCATATTTTATTCTGCATCTATACTGCTCTTCAGTTACATAGAAAGAAAATATTTGGTAAGTCAGTATGCAAGGACAAATAATAGTCAGCATGCATGGTTAAAATAAATACAAACAGTTTGCGCAAAATTGCTACATACAAGGCATAGCTTCTTATAAGGGCTGTTCAAATGAGCCGGGCCAGCCAGATAGCGGGATGTATCGTGTCACGAATTTTTTCCATTTGAATGAACTTTATACTTTTGTTGGAATCAAATTAAGCTATTTCATTTTTGTTTAAAAAAACGCATTTCAATTGATATAAACGTAATACAAAACCTTCAATTAATACAACTTACAGTATTCAGATCAGACAAAATCGATCATTAATTAAAGTAGTAAAAAATCGAACGTTCAAAAGGTATACAAATAGATTGTTTAAGATCGATAAAAAAAACCCAGACAAACAAGCTACGTATTTAAAATTAAGTGGAACGTGCTGCTAAAAGCCAGCTCTGACAAATTAAATGGTTTTATTAAAATTAATGAAGCAATAAAATTGTACCAATGGGAATATTTCAACTTAAAAATTCTTTGATAAAAAAGAGTGTGTCAAGTAACGATTAAACACCTATATGCATGTGTTTCAATTTACATGCAAATTATGTTTATATCATCAACCAGGTATCTTTTATATTGCAAACGCCTAAAAAATCTTATTAAATTATAAGCGAGTAAAACCACTCGCCCAAAACACTCGTTGCAACTATCTTTCAATTTCTAGATCATGTACCTACATGGTCTTCCTGTTAATTGTCAAGTACCAACCCAAAACAGGGCTCTAAATAGTATTGTGTATGCCAGTATTTCAATTTATAGATCATGTCTATGGTGTCTTTATTGTTCCGAAGCTGGTTGCTGTTAGCAGTGAGTTTGGCTCAATCAGGAATTGAAACAGAAGAGTTTGGAGAAGGGAGCAGCTCGACTTCACAGAGCGACACCACTGCACTTGATGAGGATTTAGTATTTTATAAGCATACATTTCTTGAAGGTTAGTTTACACAGTCGACGTCAACTTAAGATACTGATTGCTGCAGAACGTTTATGGAATATAGATAGAATATTGTAACTAGTAATCGGCCCCTAACTAGTGAGTAGTGTAATACTAGTTTGTAATAAGAGAAAACCTCTGGCAATTCAATATATACCGCGCATTGAGCATTCCTTCTATGGAGAATAAGGGTTGTTCACCAATCAATATGTTTTCAATTCTAAGGACTGTTCTCAAAGCATGTCTTGTACACACTGGTAGCAAAAGCTAATTGATGAGGATGTTTAATGTAAGAAATTCAATATACATGATACCAGAGGGCATGAACTTTTGTCTCTAACGATGATTATGGATTATATACAGGTCCGTGAAATGTCTTGCATACAAAGCCGGGTACGATCCTTCTGTTTCGGGTGTGGTTAGGGTGGTGATTTGTGAAACACGAGGATGTTATTCAAAGTTGGAACTCAATGGGTGACAACTGTAGGACCATGAAGTGAATTAAAAATACTTGCCTTACAAGAACCTGTAGAGACAGGATGTTGGTATTCGTGAAAGGAGCAATCCCAGAAGAATGTATAAATGTAGGCCAACCTCTATTCATCGAACACCTTCGGGACCCTTCCGACTTTATCACCTTGACGGGGCCACCAAGAGGGGTTTCAATTGTTTTCAATATAATCTTTTCAGGCTATCGTTTCCCTCATGGTATTATTCAAATGACGACGGTGACATCCTTAATTGAATGTTTGTTTCAATGTGCAAATGACGTTGGCTGCTTGGCAATAAACTATAGAGAGGATTTGTTGCAAGAGAACATGACAGAGAACTGTGAGTTGATTGAAACGATCGCGGTGAACTGGTCTGATGAATTGCTCAGAGATGTTCGGTATAGGTTTTACATGATAATACAGAATAATCTACAGGTATTTTTTTCATAATTACACTGATGCCGGATGCATATTGTTATAATAAGAGCCCTGGTTATAGCTTTTCATATTGTTCATAGTCGAATACAGGCGTCTCTCTAATAAGGACATCTCTCTAATACGGGCATCTCTCTAATACGGACATCTTTCTAATACAGACACCTCTCTAATACAAAATAACAGTAACTCCGAATAACATTTTGATTTTTAATCGACGTTTCGACTAGTTTGTAGTCATCCTCAGGATTATGAAGGATGACTACAAACTAGTCGAAACGTCGATTAAAAATCAAAATGTTATTCGGAGTTACTGTTATTTTGTATTTTCTTAAAATCCTGGGTGGTTCCCGTAATTATCTCTAATACAGACACCTCTCTAATACAGACACCTCTCTAATACAGACATCTCTCTAATACAGACACCTCTCTAATACAGACATCTCTCTAATACAGACATCTCTCTAATACAGACACCTCTCTAATACAGAC